TGCTATAGTCAAAACTGGTCTTTACATTTTTTGTAAAAAACGAACTTGAAAACCACTACTGGAAGCAATTTTGTAGCCTGTATTAATCTAAGGTAATGGGAGAAACACCTTTAAAAATATGTAATTTTCAAGTCTGTTACATTTGGCTCAAAAACTTTGTGAAGCATTTCTCTTTTCACATGGCTGTGCTACGCAGAACACTTTTCAGGTCATTTCTTATCAATTACTTCAAGATCAGGGAACACTCACATGGTGAGAGAGGGAGTCACGAACAAAACATATTCAATGCATAAGACAGGAGATAAAGGGTACATCTCGACTGCACTGCTCTTTCAGGACACTGGAAATATCCCAAAATAGCAACGCTGTGCCTTTAAAAGTACCTGTTATTTCCCAAAATAGTGGGCGTGCTATTTCTGCTTCCCTGTAATCCTTTTTCCACGAGGGTTAAGGGATTTGTCAGAATAGTGCCTTATTTTGAAATTTTGTGCTGTGTAGACTCGGAATTTAGACTTGGAATAAGCTAAGCAATTTGTGTAGCGCAAATTGCGTAGCTTATTTTGACAGAAGGGTGATGTCGAGATGCACCCAAAGAGGGATAATAGGAAAAGAAATTACTCCAATGAAACATTTTTAAAAGATTTTGTTTCTTATAACATTATAAACCACGTGCAGCCTTTTCACAGCCTCTTTTCCACTGGAAAGATAATGCCAATTTTTTTTTTATAGGCTCTCTTTTTTTCAGCAATATTTTTCTTTTGGGTATTCTATATTGCTATAAACACCACACTCTTGACTCACCTAGAATGGTTATCCATTCTGCTGTAGTTCTTGTTACACCTATGGAAATATCATACCAAAACATTTTTCTCTTCTTTCCATTTCCATCACATCATTCCAGAAAAAACATATTTAGTATCCAGAAGGAACCAGAACCAAAAGCAAAAAAAGCAATAAAACCAAATTTCTTATATTTTGGGCAGAATGCCATCATCAGGGGCAGGGAGAGAAGGGACTTGACCTAGAACAATATTTCTAAAGAAAGCGACAAAAACCTCACACTTAACTAAAGTTCCTGAGAACTTACAGAAAATCAAGCTTCAGGATTGTGGATGTAAGAAATCAAAACCAGAGTTGGAAATTTTCCTGATAAATATATTTTGGCTTTTTTTAGAAATGACAATTCGTCAAAACCAATACTGTTCACAGGAAAGGTTCATTTTCAGTAAACTTCTCAGCTCAAAGTAAATTTCAAATTCTCTAAATGGAATATTTCAACATTTTCTAAATCAGAAAGGTCTGTTTCAAAATGTAAGTTAATTTATATAAAAGAAAGGGGAAAAAAGATAAAAATGAAACATTTCAATTCACCCAATCTGAATTTTTTTATTATTGATTCACAGATATTTGAAATTTTGATGTTTGTCCCAATTTGAAATGGGAAATATTTTAAAACCTCAAATTATTTTGATTTGGAACATTTGTTTCCTACACAGCTACTTTTTCAATCCATGAAACAGCACCAAGCATTAGTATCCATTTCCCATGCCTTATCTTTTGCATTTGGGAGTGATTCTTGTCAACCATTTTAAAGAGAGCAATGTGCTCTCTTATTTCCTACTAAGATGAGTTTGTTACGCCTAACCAAACATCTACTGAAAAAACTTAAGTTCTGATGTGCAACCTGATCCAGTTGGACCTCACCAGAATCTAAATGAGGGCTGTGTATGCTAAGCCCAGGCCTCTGACTCAGATTTGAGCCCAAGACCCCTTCAATCCACACTTACATCAGTCTGACATGGAGCCTATTTCTGGACCCTTGTCCAATCGTACCTCTGAGAAGCATTCTTCTGAGCAATGTCCACTCACTCCTTGGACGCCTTTGAGGAGCAGCTGATGCTGATAGGGTGTCCCTCTCTGAATTCATGCTGCTTTACCTGTGACTTCACTCCTGCTCCTGTTTTTTTCATTTGTTGTCTCCGGTACTTAGGTGATGCCCAGGTCTAGTTGTTCCTCCCCCTCAATTGAGAGGAAGGGTCTTTAGTTTTGGATGGGGATAGGCTTTAAATAGCACAAATCAATCTGGGTCATAGGACACTTACAGGGGCCTGAGTCAGAGCCCAACTCACAGAGTAACTCAGACCCAAGCTCTGCATTCTGCAGAGTGGATGCAGGTCAAGCTGATGACCTGAGCCAGAAAGGCTGTGTAGCGTAGTCTGGACATGTTAATATGACTATGTAGGTAGGTATCTATCTCACCTTTTGGATTACAGTGTTGTTCCTGCAATTCTCTAGGAAACAAAAAATAAGGCATCATGATGCCCAGCCAAGGGTGGATGTGGGACCCAGAGCGACACCCCTCCACCTCATGTCTTACCCCTGCCCTGCCTCCTCCTGCCCCTGCTCCACCTCCACCCCCACTCTATTCATTCTCTCAAACCCCCACCACTGCATCACATAGATACCTTATTTCTCCTTCTATGCCCAGAAATCAAATTCATAGGACACAGAAGTCTGTAGAGATAGTGTACCAACTTTCCCACCTTCTGTCTCTCTAACTGTGACTAACCACCACAGATGGTAGTATAAAAGAGAGAATTCAATGCTCCTAGGCTGCAATTAACATCACTTTCCTCAAAAGGTGTTATGGCATGTTATTCCTCTTCTAATTCCAAAATCCTTATGAAAAGATAGAAATGGATTCATAACACAGGACTAGGAGACATTTTGCTTCTGATGTAGGCTTTAACAGAGTTCCTCTGTGGCCTTGGGCAAATCACTGAACCTCTGTGCCCCAGTTTTCTTACCTATGAAATGGGGATAATGTTTCAAGAGCTAATTTGTCTATATGGAGAAAACTGAAAAGGCTGAGCTTGTCTTCTCTTTTACTTTGACCTGCTTCCTTTCTGTCCCAAACCTAGGGTTTCTCTTTGCCCTTAAAAAAATTACAGCAAACAAACTTAATTTAATTAACATAGTGGTCACCAACCAGTAGATCGGGATCTACTGGTGGATCTTGGAGCCTTTGACAGGTGATCTTGACTGGTTTGGCCAGGAGGCTGTCAAATGCAGCTCTTCAGCTGCCCCTCCCCCCACTGCTGCATAGCTCCTGCCCTTTGCCTTGGAGCTGTCTTTCTCTCCCACCTGAATTCTACCTCCACAGAACAAGGGGTGGGAAGCACAACAGGGTTTGGGATGAAGAGAGTTTGCTGGCTGCTTTTGAGAGTGGTGCAGGGCCAGGGCAGAGGTGAGCCTGCCTTTAGCACCACTGTACTACCACACAGGAGCCACCTGTGGTAAGCAGGGTGTAGCTAGATCTGGAGCCTGCATCCTGAATCGCTGTCACGGTCATGTACCCTCCTGCACCCCAAGCCCCTGTCCTAGCCCTGAGCGCTCCTAGACCCAACCTCCCTTACAGAGCCTTACCCTGAACCCCCTCCTACACTAGGGTTGCCAGGTGCCTGGTTTTCTACTGGACAGTCCAGTTTTTGGGCCCTTTGTCCAGTAAAAAAAATCCAGAAAATACCAGACATGTGCAATGTCCGGTATTTCCTGGTTTTCCAGCTGGGCACCTGACGGAAGCTTGGTGGGGGCAGGGGCAGGGGCAG